GTCTAAATCATCAGGGTTGTCAGTGACTACGTTAATACTACGTTAATACCGTGGGAATGACCAACTGACTGTTGTGACGGGAATTTGGTCAGTAGTCACAGGATTTATGGTGGCTGAGGGCCTGGGCAGCTGGGTACAACTATTATTTCGTGCCTGTGGTATACTAACCAGGATTTAAGTGGACGTAGTGGGCTCTATAATGTATCTTAACGCCAATGCTAATCTTTTGCATGCAGAGCAGAGCCCATAACCCGCTTTCAACCAGTTTAGCAGGTTCATATTGGTGTAGTTGCGGCAAACGGGAAATGCCAACATCCTTGCCTGTGGCGTGCGAAACATTACACTAAATTTAATACGGCGGAACATTCCGCATTTTCCCTTGCTATTTTGAGCTCCGTTGCCCTGCTAGCGAAAGGACTGTGACTACAGTGACCACGTGGTCATACCTAGTAATTTCGGTAATAACTGAAGTCATTTCGGTCACAGTCACGTATAATGACTATGACGCGCCAACTCTGTAAATCATGACAGGTAGTAAGACATCAAAAGTAGCAGTAAAATAACGGCGAACTGACATCGCAAGTCCCGCATACGGGTTCGTATTTGGCGGTCAGCTTCTTCGCGCGCAGAATCAAACTGAAGATTCCGGGGCGACTTGAGCTCTAATATGAAGACGGGTCTGTCGACGAGCTGAACTTCGAAGACCACGATGAAGTCGGCAGACTCGCGTAATGTAGGCGTTAGGTACTGGGGAACGACAGTGAAGCGTACCCCCAGGGAATAAGGTATAAAGGAGCTTGTTGTATGGACCGTGAAAATCCGATCCGTTAGGGTGGGGAGGGACTTTCTGGAATTGACGGACAACTTGAGGTGGCCAAGGCATGGTGGCCCCGGATGTGGCCATAGTTGGACACCTCGAATAGTGCCGGAGGATTATACGCCACACACGACGCGTCGACTGCTTGCAGTAAGATAGAGCCACCTCATGATCATGTACAGCTACTATGGTCACACTGTGATAATCACGTGTTTTATCCATATACGGCAGGTCAGTGTAAGGAAATCGACAAACTCATCGATAGAATTGACCACACTTCAGCTTATTATAAGACAGGTAGGTTGAAGTTCTCAGATGTTTTTTATAGGAACTGTTTCTATGTACTGTATCTTTGATTCCTATAAAAAATACTATCATTGGGGGTGTTCTGTAAAAGTCAGATTTTTTACAGAACTCCGAAATCTCGAGAAGTATGCTACAGGGAGCTTAGCGGGTTGGTACAGATATGTATTTTATACCGTACAGACGGTTTGGGAAGTCAGAATTGCCTCAAGTTTTTCCCTTGTTGTATGGGAGGTTGAACACCGTCCAAATGCCCACTGTATAAGGTCTGATGTCCTCCTGATGGGTAGATCTGCCAGCCTACACGGCCCCGGCATATATCGGCTTGCCTAGAGAAAGTGTTTCCCGCATGTGTGAACATCCTGCGCCCACCCGATAATGGCTGCAGGCTTGTGAAGTGCTCGTATGGTAGATTTGACAGAACTCCAGGGGCTCTAGGGCGCGTGACAGACGCGCGCGGATAGTGTTACCCGCGCGTGACGTTTTTACATTACTCCCCGCAAGTGCCGTTCGTCTGCGGCCTCTCTCTCTATTACTCTGTACATAGTGAATCGAGACCGTTGTTTTTGCAGATGGTACTTAGGAAGGTATACTATGATGCCTGAGTGAAATAACAGGAAATAATGAAGAAGGTACTCTTTGGCAGGCCATATTGTCAAGTTTTTACAGAACCCCCCCAATGATAGTATTGGGCGTTTTCTGTTCGTGTCTGGAGGTTTAAGGCAATCGTGGTGTTTGTGTGACGAAAAGAGTCACGTGATGGTAGTTGTACATGAGGTGGCTCTATCTTACTTAGATGTAATTATAAAAACAGGACCATCCCCCTAAGAGCTTGTAACGATCGCAGGAAACCTGCCAACGTCCGGGGGGTCTAAGACCCACTACGAGAGGAGTGCGTACTACTACAGAAGGAACTCAACTATTTCTGCTCAGGTGAGAGGACGGCGTCGATGACTGCCGTCGGGTTGAAGTCAGGGAATAGCTTATTGCTCAGCTCGTCATCATCCCCGACGAGACCGCGCCCTTCGTCCCATTGCAGCGATAACCACGAAATGAAATCCTGAGGATTCGCTTTCACAGCAGCTTGCAAGTCGGCGCGGGACTTGTGTGTCACGTCCAGCTTCTTCGCGGTTCTGGATTGGTACAGGTCTACCAGCTCGTTCAATGTCTGTGATGATGGTGCGTCAGACTTCGATCGTTCTGGCAGGAAGCAATGGCTTTACCTTCCGGTCTCCCTCGATGCGGAAGGTCTTCCAGTGCAGCTGCTCGGGGGATAGATGCGTCGTCACGTACGCGACAAATCTGGCGATATCTCTTCGGGTCGTAAAGGAGATCTTGGAGCTGCCCTCACCCAGGATGGTCACTTTACCATTAGCGAAATCCCAGCCGAAGAACCTGCAGCCATACTGTCAATACGGCAGGGGATGATATTGGCTCCGGAAAGCGACGCACGGAGAGAAGACGTAATCCCCAAACGGTCCCGTGTAGAAGAGGGCGTACGGAAGCTTAATCTCCTCCAACTTGCGATGAAGTGCATTCTTCACGCCCAAGATGCCCACAGTGATGCCTTCGGAAGGGTTACTGAACTCCGAGGGGACGAAGAGCTTCACGCCAGACTCCTTCGCAGCCTGCGCAAGGGCAGTCTGCTGCTCACCGAGCGCGGCGCTGCCCAAGGTAGAAATGACGACGTCTACGCCCGAAAGGGCGGAAGAGAGTGTCGACAGCGAAGTGTAGTCCACGGTGACGAACTTGGCGCCTTGTTTAGCAAGATCGGCGTGAGCGTCATTGTTGCTGCTCTAATTGCCCGGGGTCAATTAACATTGGGAGTTTCAGTGAGTTGGGCATCTCTGCTTACCCGAGTCAGAACGGAGACTGAGGCAACCTTTCCGCTAGCCTGCAGCTTGAGCAGCTCTTCGATAATGAATCGACCGAGATTACCAGCGCCAGTGACAGCGAAGTTCTTGTATCCGGACATAGTATCGTTTATCACACCTTTGAGGGGCGCGCAGGTGTAAATCCGCTTCGTTGGGAGTGTTGAGCAGTTCTGGGCGGCATTATATACTAGATCTACGTGGCCAAGCCGGGACACGGGCACGCTGCTATCAACAACGGATTGGTCAGACTACCATTGACACCATCCAGCAAGACGCTAGATCATTCTGCGGTACGCAAGGTTTGTGAGCAACGATATACCGAGATCTTAGGGGAAGAGACATGGGCTCAGCTGTCTTAGCATCGGTCAGTCTCTCGTCAACGCCAATTACTAATGTATCTGCTTAGCACCCATTGCACCAGAGGGCTTTATTCAGGACAATTCTGCATTCGATTCGCGAAGATGACGCTATCTTCATTGTTCGTGCCTTCGTCATGGCGCCTACAAGAGAAGATCTCTCCCACGAATGATGCTTGAGTCGAGCGCAAGGCGGGACAATATTCCTACCAATTATGAAGGCATGGGGAGATGCCTAAATATTACAATGAGGACGGTGCCTGAGACTATTGGGAGACCCGTTGACCAGCCACCTTTGCTCAAGGATTTGCGAGGAGAGCATCAATAACTTCGGTCGGGCTGAATTCTGGGAACAGGTGGTTGCTCAGCTCCCCAGGCTTCCCGAGACCACACCGTCCTTCCTCCCACTCCAGCGACACCCTTGAAAGTAAGTCTTTAGGGTTCTGTTTTATAGCTTCTTGCAACTCAGAGCGGGACTTGTGTGACACTTGCAGTGTTTTCCCGCTTCGGCCTTGATAGATGTGTACCAACTCGTTCAAGGTCTAGTGTGAAGGTTGGTCAGCTTTCTTTTGTCCTCGGAAGAGCCCAGAACTCACCTTGCGGTCCCCTTCGATCCGGAAAATCTTCCACTGCAACTGATCTGGCGGTAGATGGGTGAGGACGTACGCGACAAATCTGGCGATATCTCTTCGGGCTGTGAAGGAGATCGGGGCGTTCCCTTCACCCAGAATATTCACCTTACCGTTGGCCAGATCCCAGCCAAGGAAACTGCGGTCGTATGAACCATCAAGTCAGGTCCCGGATATCCTAAGACCATTGCATACGGAGCTGACTCGAAATCTGCAAACGGCCCCGTGTAGAACAAGGCGTACGGCAGACGAATCTCCTGTAGCTTGCGGTGGAGCGCGCCCCTCACGCCCCAGGGGCCAAATGCGAGGCCCTCGGTCGGGATACTGAACTCGGAGGGTACGAAGAGCTTTACTCCGGCTTGTTTGGCGGCTTCCGCCAGGGCGGTCTGCTGCTCGCCGAGGGCGGCGCCGCCCAAAGTGGAGATGACCACGTCTGCCCCAGATAAAGCGGAAGAGAGGGACGAAAGCGAAGTATAATTCACCGTGACGAACTTGGCGCCTTGCTTAGCGAGGTCGGCGTGAGCATCGTTGTTGCTACTCTAATTCGATTGGATTAATGGGTATCGAGACCAAGTCGATTATCTCTGCTTACCCGAGTCAGGACGGAGACTGCTGCATGCAGCTTCAGGAGCTCTTGGATAATGAACCGACCGAGATTGCCAGCACCCGCTACAGCGAAGTTCCTGTATCCAGACATGACTCAGGAGATTCTGAACGCGTCTCACTGGATCCCCTTTCCTTGGCAGCACCGAGATCTACGGGATTCGCTATATAATGGTTTTGTCATGGTACCCTATCAGTAATGGACTGTTCAAATAACATCGGAAACAATGTAGCGAGACTCTACGCCATCTTGCAGGACTCACGACTGCTCAGAGATATCAGCTCAAATTCGGCAATTCTTTGGTCCGTGATGCATAATCAAGGATAATACCGATTGCGTCGACGTCTGACTCGCCGCCTATGTAACGTAGTATATACGACTCAGACGGCTCTATTACATCGCCAGCGAAGTCCTTGATGACCCGTTTCTTGATGCTTGACGCTTGAATCACAACCCGTCCCCTGATCTTTCATGTACAGGTATGATATATAACTCTACTACTTATCGTATAGACTAGACACGACAGTCGCAGCTAGCTGGACAGGATACAGTTACACGCGCACGCTGAAAGCCATTAAAAAGTATTTTCCGGGGGTTTGAAGGGCGAACGGGATAACCTAGCTACAAAAGGACTAAAAACACAACAGAGCGCGAAAGCATTGTGACAACAGCGACGGGAAGAGGAAAGGGATATTTGCACGTTGCAGAATAATACACTTGATACAAATAGCAGAGAAGAGAGGAGAAACAGAGAGGGAGAGTGTCAAGATAGCGACCTTTTCGTTCGACGGGGACCTGAGCCATCAGCGATCGTCCGAGATGATGTTGGGGATACTCAGGATGTTCTTCCTAGCACCGCGCTCGCCACCAGGCGCTCTCTCCGGCGGCTCAGCCACCTGGGTAGCGCGCAAGGGCGCAAGCTGTATCCTCCCGCCATCCTCCCGACCGTAGCCGCTCGCCGCGTAGCCAGGGCCGCTGGTTGCATTGCTCCCGGTATACCTAGCCGACTCCGACCCGTAAGTTATCTCGCCTTGCCCTTGCGGGTATCCCCAGGTTGAACTGGACTGGCTGGCGTGCTGCGAATGACCCGCGTACGTCCCCGGCGGCGCCGCCCACGGATCCGATGCAGGAGGCGGTGGCGCACCATACCCGGGATGAGTAGTCGCAGGCGGAGCAGGCGCGTACGCTTGATATTGCTGCGACGGCGGCGGAGCGTGGTGACTCGGCGGGGGAGCCGCATACGCGGCAGACGCAGGTGGCGGGGCGCGTTGCTGCGAGGGAGGTGGTGGAGGGTAATGGTGCTGCTGATGATGAATCGGGTACGCAGGTCCGCTCTGCGACGCAGCCGGGGGCGGCGGCGGAGGCGCGTGGCTGTAATGTTGCTGCTCATAATGATGATGTGCAGGCGGGGGAGGCGGGTGCTCGTAATACCCTCCCTGCGAGTATCCAGTACTCGCAGCAGGCGGAGGCGCCCCGTACCCGCCAGGGTACTCATGACCGCCATACATCCTTTGTGGCGGGGGTGGAGGAGGCGAATAATGATGCTGCTGCTGAGGAGGGTGCGAATATTGATCGTATCCCTGATGCTGAGGCGGCTGTGGAGGAGCAGCTGGTGGCGGCGCGTGACCCCACCCTCCAGGCGGTGTGGAACCCGTATAGTACCCTTGCGAAGGCGGCAGAGGCGGCGCAGCGGCGGGTGCAGCAGCGGGCGGGGCATAATGGTGAGGGGGAGTAGGATGCTGGGCCTGCGGCGGCGGGTGCTGAGAAGCAGCTGGCTGCGACGGCGGCGCCGAATACGGATAATGGCTCGAGTGCGCCGGAGGCGGCTGGTGGTGCGCAGGTCCAGCCGGCGGCGGGGGCGGCGGAGCCGCACTCTGAACTTGATTGTGAACAATGCCAGGAGCTGGGGCCGCCGCTGGCGGGGGCGGCTGGGCAGGCGCCGCTGGTGCAGACTGGTCGTACGAATACCACCCGCCCGCGCTCCTCTGCTGCTCCCAATGCGCCGGGCTCTCCGGATCACCTGCGCTCCCGCTCCCCGCGTTGCTATTGCTCTCCGCGTACTGCCCCTGGGGAGCGCCGTCCCAGCTTGCGGTCTCCTCGCGAGCGGGCTCCCTCCCGCCGTCGTCGTCCGCCGTGCGTCTCCTCTTGCGGCCTCTATCATTCCTTTCGCGACTTCGGTCGTCCTTATCCCTCTCTGCTTCGTCATCCTAGAGACGTAGACATCAGGGCCGATGATTTAATATTATTCCAACAATATACTCACATTATCCTTCTCCCTCGGACTCGCCTGGGCCACGACATCCGTCGGCCAGGGCAACGCCATCGGCGGGGGCGCGCCCGGCAGCGGCTCGAGCAGATTCCCAACGACATTCCCAGGCGTACCCTGACCCCGTTTCCTGACCCTGATGTCCTTGCGGATACGAATTTTGATACCCTGATCGGCGAGAGAACACGACAGCGGCGTGGACTCTGCTACCAAGTCAATCCTGAGGCCAGTGAGACAGTAACCGATGCTACGAACCTTCCATGCCCGGGAACTTCTTCGCTGTGTACACGTAGAACGGAGCCGAGTAGATCGACTTGCAGTGGTGCACGCTCGAACTGACGTGCAATAAGGCTGACGTCAGTACGTTTCCGTCGCTTCCGACGATGAAGGTATTAAGGGACAACAGCCGTATGTGCGATACCGTCCCTCTCAAAGAAATCGCCAGCACGGAGATTATCGCCTCTTGCGAACAGGCATCGCATACATAAGAGGGTCGATATGCCTCCATTTTCACCTCAACCTTCATAGAAAAGCCCTGCCGTCGAACCGAGACCATGTCCACACACCCCCTCGCCTTACTCGCTCGAGAAATCGAAAGAAACATCACACTCACCCAACAACCTCGAACAGACTCAGCTTGAGCCGATAACTCCCCTCCGTGCGCACGCTCAGGTCCGGAAAGACGAAGAAGCCCGCGTCCTCGTTGTTGTGCTCGGCATCTGAGAGTAGGGAGATGATGAGTAAACCAGATTCCATAATGAAATAGGTTGGAAGCTGTGAAGGTAAGGAGGCCAGATCGGACACGCTTGGGTGCCACATGCACACAACCCCGCAATCCTGCACCCTTGCGCGTTATCGGCATGGGCAACCCACGATCGAGCCAAAGGGAAAGCACTAGATGTGAGCACGGATGCGCTCACTGCTACCCCCGAGGAGCCTCTCCTCTCCGTTGTGTCTCGCGATCCTAACCCCCACCCCCCGGCACGGCACCTGCCATCCTACTATCATCACCTAACCGCCTTATCCGACCCCCATCCAGGCAAACAGTCTGCAATCCCTCATCCACCCCATCCATCCAACCAACAAACTCACCTTTCAAGCAATACAAACTACTAACAACGCTCCCCGTCGTACACCGCGTCTTCCCATCCTTCAACCAGTGCAACTCCGTATCCTCGTCCGGCTTCGCGAGACTCGCAAACATAAAGTAGTACGGATTCTGCAGGAACGACGCCGCGTGCGTCAGCGGCGTCGACGCGGTGTGCGTATTCGACGACTTGGACTCGGCTGTGCATGGTGGATAGATAGCTTAGAGATTAGACATCATTGAAGTGGACGAAAGCACTCACCGCCCCCCGCATGGCTCACGTACCCTGAGTCGCTCGCGGAGCTCTCCGACGAGGCAGGCGAGCGCGCGCGCGCGTCCTGAGAAGCAGCCGAACTCGCAGGATCGAGCACGCGCAGCTGCACGATCGGAGGGGGGTCGATGGGCCGGCGGTCCGCTGTGGTGAACGCATCAGGACTGGTACGCAAACCTTACATACACAATACTCACCCCCGACGCCGCACATCCGCGCCTGCTTGGGTTCCTGGCGCATCGTCAGCTCATAGTGCCTGCTTCGGCCGAAGAGCGTCAGAGTCATCGCGTTCGCGTCCAGTGATGGCAGCAGTAGTTGGACCAGTGACAGCAGCAGAATTCGAGATGTCAGGCAGCCGAGCAGCAGGTCAAGGGGGCCCAATCGATATCGGCCGCGATCAGGGGTGAGCAAGGATGGGATATAGGGACGCGGGAGGGAGCGGGGCAGTCAGCGAGGGAACGGGCGATAAGTGTGAGAAAGCACGGGCGCGCGGTCGGGGCATTGCATTCGATCGTCGGCGAATTATTACAGTATTAATCGACCCAGGCCCGGGGGTGAGGCGCGCGGGTTATTTGAAGACGGGGGCGCGAGCCCGACAAGTCGGCGTGTGGAATATTCAAAATCGGTGCGATGATTGTAATGATAATGCGGTGATTGGAAGATGCGGGGCACGGTCAGCGAGCGTTCGATACGAGAGATCCAGGACGTAAAATCGGGAGGCCCGAGGGACGGGTAGCGAGCAGGAGAAGGCAGAAGAATAAAGGAACAAGGGAACGCGACAAGAGAACCGTAGGAGACGCGACTCACAGCCTATCCCTGTCGTACAGCTCGTGCCCATGCACATGCGCGTGGGGGTGCCCCGGATGGAGCGCGTACATGCCTGGAAATCCAGGCGGCGGGTTCGTGTCCTGAACCATTCCAGAGGAGACTTGCAAGACGGCAGGCGGTGCGCTGCAGAGGATGCGGGAGGCGGAAGTCAATCGTCAAGTCGAAAATCCGTGAGTGCAACTAGCAGGCGGTCCTGAGAAAGAGTGATGACGTGACTTGGTCACGCCAGGTTCTCGGTTTTGCCTCCGCTCCTCTGCGACGGCGTTAGTCTCAGGACCAAACGTTTGGCTGCAGCTCACTGTACATCGTCCTGCTCGCTCTTATACTCTGCACGAGCAAGTGCTGCCTATGCCAGCGTTTCCGGGCCAACTCCAGCGCGCGATCCGCGCCCGCTCGCCCGCACAGCTGCACGACTACCACTTCCGCTGCCGCACGCTCGTCCGCTGGCATATACATAGAGGATCGGCAGTAATGGCAAGTCGGGTCCCTTTCTGCGATCGCGCCGAATGCCCGGAATGAAGACCGGGACCGCGTTCGAAGGAGCGGTGAAGACCCCGAATACGCACCGTCGCCCCCGCAGTGCAGAGGCTTTCAGTCTGCGGGAGAGGGCATGCAGAGAGTGCGGGAAAGAGGGGAAGGAGAAATTGTGCTGGGCATGGAGAACGCCTCCCTTTATACGCAGCTGGGTCGGGAGGAAGCGGAGTGGACAGCGCAACCGGAGAGCGCATACATTGCCAAGTTGGGTAACTTGATATCCTTATATGGTAGCGAGCTTGCTTTGCGCCGCGTTCGAAGCTTTGTGCAATGTCCTGATCTGCGCTGGCCCAGTCTGAGTCTCTCCGTCTCTTGTCCAGATCACGCGTTCGACTCCAGCAACAGGAGAAATGCGAGTCCAGTCAACTACTGTGTAAGGTAAGCGTGCATGGCGGTGAGATGGCAGAATATCCTGGTATCCAAGGGTACCCGGGGTTACAACCCAGCCCTTGGGCACGGGGCCACTTACCCTCAGTTATGGCGCTAACAGGTAATAACCTCGCAGATCTTGCATCTTGCTCCAATAGAACGAGCTCAACGCACCCATTAATTTAGATGATGCTCGCTATCTGAGCTTGACCTGTCGCGAAAAGGAAACATCCAACGACGTGTATAACGTCTTTCAGTCTGTCAGAGAGAGAGGGGGGAGTGAAGTACTGAAGTTTGTGTACCGAACAACGCACGCAAGCTTGGGAGATCTGTCAATACAGATGGAGTGGGAAGCTGCCACAGCGTTCCCCATCGAGAGTTCCAGCGTCTCGTCAGCACCGAACTCTATCCAGCATTGCCTGCTCAGTCCTCTCTTTGAATTCCAACATTCTCTTGGATCCTCCTTGGATATTCTACATCATTGACAGTCATTTTGAGGCAAGTCACGCTCATCGACGCGTCGCATGCGTCCTACGCGGCGCAGTTTAAAGCTAGGGGCTAGGAACCCGCACATCCCCCCACGAATACCCACCCACCGCGAGCTATAGTTACCACCACACGCCCCCGCCGCATGCCCGTCCCACCCCCACAAGGCATCTCCACCCCGATGGCACTGTTCATCTCGGCGAATCTCCGTGCCCGTGGACTGGGGTTCGCCCGGGACCGTGGGCATGGTGTATCTCAGACTCGGTCGTGTCTGTGAGCACTAAGCGAGCGATACCGATCAAGCTCGAACCCGAGGATGTGTTCTGAAACCTTATGTGTTTATTCGTTTGTGCGTCTAAATGTTATGTTACGGTATGTGCATAGGTCGGATTCTGGTTCTGGTTCTTCGCTTGGCGTCCATTCCTCGGGCTTCGCGCATGCAAGGTTGGGGGAATAATGGTCTCGCTGGAGGTTCCCTACCACTCACCAGCACTGTCATCTCCGTCTGGCAGCAATCTCAGTACGCCTGACTGACCTATGAGGCCAGGTCAGCGGAGGGCTCAAATGACCCTGCAAACGGCGTCCAACCTCCCAGCATTGCAATCGCGGTCGGTCCGTGTGTCTGTATGCCCTTACCACATCTCTGTTTATGTTCCGAGCTGACAAATCCCATGAAGCCTGGGCGATACAGTTCAAGATGCGAGATACGAACGTAAAGGCCACAGATCAGGAGCCCGTCTTTGCGTAGCGTGGTATGCCGCGAAGGGACGTCTGCTGATGTGTGGTCGTATACGCCCAGCCGCCATGCATGGACGAGGCGAGTCTCGCTCTGCACAGGTCGAAGGCGATCGCGACCCTAGACATACCACGCCCACGGCGGACGTCTCCCGTCAGCCCAGGCGAGAGTCGCATCTGGTGCGTATCACAGAACCAGTACGCTCTCGCCACGCCTTATTACGTTCCGCGCTGACAAATTCGTCCGCAAAGTTTAAGGTGCAGAAGCCAAAGGCAGCGTCTTCGCGGCACACCCAGCAGCCGCTGGCATGCGAGGAAGACTCGGAAGCGTGTCTTACTCTACCGTCTATAGAGATCCACCGCGACTAGACATACGCCGCACACGCTGGAGACGTTCCACAAGCCCAAGGCCGATAGGCAGCTGCTTCGGCTGCAGGCTTGAGAGGTTGCGCGTCCTCACGCTTTGGCGTGCATACCGCCTGTCCCCTCCCCTCTTTGCGGGTCCGAGGGTAATGTACGCGGACCACGATCATGAAGGCATCGTGCCTAAGGTATAGTACTCATCATGACCGTGTCCGTAAGTGCTGGTATTAAATATCAATCACCGCTGGGATCGTTACACACTCATGTGCAACTGCCGGAACCACGGCGAGGATCTATGGATCTCAGCTGGTCCGAATGTATGTCCTTACCGCATTTTTTACGTTCCGATCCGACAAATGCCAGACGCAGAGCGATAGCTTAAGATGCAGGAACCACGAACCAGTTTTTTCGCGACACACGCACCCAGGGTCTCGCTCTATACAGATCGAAGACAAGCGCGAGCCTAGCCGCACCTACACCAGCGGTAGGCTCTGAATCTTGGGTTTCTTCGAACACTCACCCCCTGCTCAACGCCGGCCGCTACCCCTCGGCGCGCCGGTGAACCGTCATCGGGTATCTCATGTCCGTTCCTCTAGTATTCATCACCAGTACTGTTACTGTTGGGATTGCTTCACGCTCATGTTCGAGTTCCGGTGATCATAGCACCTACTGTTTGTCGTGCGGGTAGGATCCGCTCGGGAGGTCATATGGTTTGGGCCATCTAACGTCCGGGACGGCATTGGGCCGTCTGCAGATTATATTACCTGCCGGAGTCACCTGTGACTCGGTGTACATGATCTAGAGGCCATCCTACGTAGATGCTACGGACACCCCGGTATTCCAGTCGAATGCTCGTCGCACTACATCTGAGCTGCGTAATAACGTATGAAAAAGCAGAAGCATACTTTCCTGGCGGTAGTGGTTCTTCTGTGATAACTTGACTTCTCGCAATTAAAAGCGGTTTATCATGAAGAGGGCCATGCAGGTTACGGTAGGGAATAGGCATCATAGCTATATGGGACCCACAGCCTACGGACCTCAACAGGCGTCAATAGCTTACGTTGATGTACGAAAGCTGCAGCACTGATCTCGTCAACTCCTGACACGCTCATGCGGCTCTTGCCACGGCACCCCTATCGAAGGTTTCAGGAACATCCACGAACCAAGCTCTCAAACTCGCTCACCGAGAATCCTGAATATCTCCTCTTCAGTCTCCGACGCGATTATATTGCCTAGAAGAAAACCGTTGGTCATGCTGCCAGCAACTCGACCAAGCGTTCTCTACCTTCGTTGAGCTTGACCGTGCGATTACTCGGATCACGGACTACGCCGGCATATAGCCCGCGTTGGTTCAGAGAGTATCCCATGACATTGGCTTTCAATCGCATGGCACGGTTAAACTGGAAATGATCGAGTCATTAGAGGGAGGGGAGTGATGCTGAACGGTTGCAACCCACGATGTCGTCGCCCTATTGGCAAGGATGTGCATCATGGTCGAGGACGATACAGAGCGCTCGATCACATACCGTATAGTACAAGAGTGCTGCGCCTCTCGACTTCCAAGGGACAGTCAGAAAATCTGGTGGGTTCGGAATAAGCTTTGCAGTGGTGCACGAGGATGTGATGAAGATCCAGAACCTATCCTTCGACGTCTGCTGTCCTTGTCTTTGCGACAAAGGCCCCGATAGACACATTCTAAATCATCCAAATCGTCAGGTATGGAGAGGTCTTCCGTCAAGATTTCCTTGCGGTGTAATATCCACAGAAGACGCCGTATGATGCCTGTATGTGCCTTAATCGCGACATTGCCGCTTCCAAAGTATCCTCTGCACTCACCCGAGTGCGTGCGTCCATCATCCGTTGGACGAGTTATTAATATGTCGATGTCCCCGCAGTCGGCTTTCCCCCTGTGATATCGTCAAATTCCAAGTGAAGCAGAGTATTTGCCAGTATTTCGTACCTCCTGAAGCTTCCCATTATCTCTATGAAGAGTTTGGAATCCAACTGGAGAGCTGGACAGCCAAAATCGGCGACCACATGACCACGAAGGCGCGAAGCTCACCTATTGCTTTAATGCGATCGAAGATCTCCTGCGCTTCAGCGCGGGGCATACGATCGTTGATGTCTGGATATCATGGGACCGCGCAATGCAATGAGACTCGGAGGAGTACGAATTGTGCGTGACTTGCCATCATAATATTTGAGACCGAGCTCTTGAACGGAGGAGACTTTGATACCGCCCTTTCGAGCCCTGACATCATCGAGGGTTTTGCATCCTGCAGCATACCACTGGAATGCGGTTTGCGACCCTGTCATGCGTCAACATATTATAATAATCCTGGACGACTTGGTGTTCAGAACTCACCGACGCCATAAATGCCCCGGAAAAGGGCTGTGACTTTGACGTCTTCTGTGTTCTCAGTTTCTATCCGCTTCAACTCGCCCGTATCAAGGATTTCCATGATCTAAGGCGGAACACGCGATATCGGTATTCTGCAATCACCAATCGTGGACTGCATGATGTAGTACCTTCTGGGCCGTCTTCTCACCCACGCCTGAGATCTTCCTCGCTTCCGCGTACGATGTGATGCGCTTGGGATACTTACGGAGAGCGCCTATGGCTTGTATATAGAGATATCTGGTCATACATACAGTGGAGTGCGATAGCCTCCTTGTGACTCACCTCTGCCATAGGCGTACACACGCCATCGCTCTTCAGTTCCTCGTTTAGCTTCGTGCAGCTCTTTGAGTTGCTGTAACTGTCGAGAGATATCAATAGGCCGAACATAAGATAAATGGCTAAGGATAGACCTTATCGACGATATCTTGGTTGACGCATTTCGGAGGAGGACCCCCCTTGCGATCGCAGGCGAACTGCTTTTGATATTTGGTCGCCTCATATCTCAAGCAAAATCAACGATATTCGTGCTTACCCGCGTACCACCTTTGCCTTTGATGGGCAGACTCTGATCCGGTAATTCCGGTTCATCCTTACTTACAGTGCTTCCTTCTAAGATGCATGCCTCGTCCTGGGCAGTGTATGTCAGTACAATGATCGAGGTGCCTATCACAAGCAAATGAATGCAGCACCGATGCATCACGTTCAGCTCTGGCTTGCGCATAAAACTCTGCTAACGGATCCACGACAGGTGTCGAACCGCTTTCAGAGTTACTTTCAGAGGTCGACGCTTTCGATTGGTCTGCGCTGCCGCTAGCATGACCTGGCGTCTCCACCCGCATCCGTTTGTTTGGCGAGGAAGGAGGCGACGGCGGCGCCGCTCTTTTCCTCTCGCAATCGGAATCATCAGTGCTGTCCTCGTTTATCACGAACTTACTATAAGCCAAGCCCGCAGCTGTCATTGTGGCAATACAACGGGAGGACAAGGTGAACCTACGATATTTTGGTGCGACCGGCAGCGCGCTTTACTGCGGGATTCTTAGCCCGATCTGCAGCCTTCGCCTTGCCCTTACCATCACGTCCCTCCGCAGGAATCCCGCCATTCGGTTTCTCGGGATTCGCAGGCGCCCGCACTGCTCCTGCTGTCGGTACCTTTGATGGCCCCGCCATAGCAGCCGCCACGGTGCCTTTAGACTTGGAAAATATAGCCATAGTGGGCGTGATTCTCTTAATGACTTCGGTGCGAACGGGGCCAGCTGCGTTCGCGGACGGCGAGGGTGCCGGGGAGTTGTCTGGGCTGGTCAAGACGCTCGTTTCAGCGATTTCCGCCGACCTTGGCTTTCGAAAGACAGTGTCACGAGGCTTGGTGGGAGCGTGTCTCGCGGTCTTGTTCAGTATGGCTTTATTGCTATTCTTGACTACCCGGTTGGGTGCAAGATCATTTCGGGTCTTCGTATTCGTGATTGCAGCTTTGGTCGCCCTTTCGTCTTCACTCCACATACTGATATCCTCTTCAACTTCGGCTGGTTCGGTGATGACGTGGGTAGTCTTATCGTTTCCTGCCTCATCTTGTCTTGATAACTCGGATTTTGTTCTTGACTGCGAGAGTGCAGGGCCAGAGACCACCGCATTAGCCAAACCTGCTGATGAGGGTAGTTTAACCGCGCTAGAGGTCGCATTCTGCGATCTATCTCCAGCATCAGCATTTTTCGGGCCCTGGTTCTGGGATATATCATGACGTTGGCTCCTTTCAGGGGGGTTGTCTCCGGAACGACCAGTCTGCTCCCGAGGCGAAGTCTTTGAGGATATCTCCGCCGACGGTTCACGGACTTTAGAGGGCAGAAGTTGAAAGATATGTTGTTTCGCACTAGTCGGTGGTGTCGCCTTCAGAGTCAGGCTCACTCGGCCTCTGCACTGCTGGTGGCTCGGCGCCACACGTACCTTGTAGATGTTCGTTCCAGATATTCTTCCACAGTTTCATCGGGCATATTAAAGATAGCGTCCTGCTGCCGCCAAAACTCTTCCAAATCGCGTTCCATGCTCGTATATATGATGTGTTAGCCACGGTACTAGGAGGAAGTGAGTGACTGGTCGGACTTAGTCAAATCTGCGCCACGGTACCGGACGCAGTCACGTGCTAGGTCCAGGACCTACATGGACCAACATCCAAACACACATATTGCCACCATCCACTTGGGCCGCGCACTGCTTCAAGTGTTTGTGTCGTGAAGCCATGGGCTCTCCGTATGAAGGGAGTAACAGCAAAGTAACAGCCGGTACTTTCATTGAAAATTTTGAGGATGACAGGCAGTCCATCGGGTTAGTGGGATTTTATCGTCCACGCGTCCGACACGGAGAACGGGAGCGGTTGGCACAACACTAGCGCATAACTGACAGAGGAGTTCTTGGAATGATATAGATATCCGGTCGCAAGTGAGTCAGCTGAATTCTCTGCTTGCCAGCGAATTTTTGCGATTTTGAACCGCGACATACAGCGTCGTCGCATGTCAGAGATGTTATTCCGCAATAGAGATGGTGGCGTAACTTAGGTGCTGCGCGGCGGTCGCAACATACTTGGACAATTACGAAACACATCAAAGTCTTCCCACATATGGATCACTGCTTTCCCCCAAATAGCACAGAACACGACGACTGTCGAGCGTCTAGACTCCTGCCATTCTTTGCAGAGAGCACATATGGCATCAGCATTCTCCACGGCTTGCGCTTTCTCAGCTGGATTTATCCCGCTTTTGGTCTTATGTTCTGCAGCTAGTGTACTTCTCTGTGGCCGACGCCAAGCAGCTAGCGCGACGCCCACGGCTCCCCGGAGAACCCATCAATCGAATTTCTATGGCGGAGACAGTGGGGGGAGGGGGTCACGATGGGATGCGCCATTCGGGCTCCTCGAGCCCATCCCCTTCCTATACTAACTCAGATCTGTGGTCCGCCCGCTGCGTCTCTAGAAGACAGCCGCGGAGTACAAGAAACTCCGTCGGCTGGCTCTTTGCGGTGTTCTTTTCGTCGCTAGAGCTGCGTGCTATCGTATCAACTATCATCAGTCGCCCCGCACCTGTATGCCCGACACTTGATCCTGGCTGAAGAACAAGGAAGTCTGACCATGTCGTTTAGGCTGATCAACAACATCACTCACGCACGTATGGACGACGCTTCTGAGTCGGAGGAGCAGGCGGGCCCGCCTGACACGCGACGCCCATCGGGCAGAGACAGCCCAGAGTCTGACGAAGACGCGCAGTCGAATGTGTCGCAGGACTTGGTAGAGCTGGAGGATCACGACTTCCAGAACTATTTCGGTCCAACAATCGACGGGCGTCTTTTTCATTCTCAATTCTTCCATTCTCATGGTAGTCTGCCTTATCCATTGCCGGCGGATGGCGAGGAACAGCGGGTGAGTTTCCCCGTCGTCTGCTGCTTTGTTCAGGTTGGGCCAGCGATTTATCCTGAGCCCTGTCCTTCTCGACGAGCTAAGCCTTTGTGATCTAAACTGATCTGGCATGACTGTCGCAGAGGCTGAAACGCCAACACGAGGTCTTGAAGTATCTCGTTGGGGCCAACTGCCCAGCGACAGACTTGGTCGACGAGGTATTTGCCTCTGGAACCCGCCGCGCCCTTGACCTATGCACGGGCATAGGTATATGGTATGGCACCGTGTTCTGTGCACGTATAAGGGATTCATTCATTTGGCGCAGGGTGCAGGAAATGGCAGACAAATATAAGCGCGTCAAGTTCATTGGCGTCGATATCGGTATGGGCTGTCCAACTCCACCTACTTTGTTCACTAATTGTCTCCATACAGTTCCGATTCAAACTAGACATCCCGACAGCAATGTTCAATTCGAGATCCAGGATGTCAGTCAGCGCTTGCGCTACAGGGACAATGACTTTGACCTTGTACACGCCAGATGCACGGCCTTCAGCGTGCGTTGTCGTACCTCCATGTAGCTCATCCGACGCTTACGCAGAATTGTCCCCTTGCAGCTCCGCTTCCAAGATTATTACAAGATGATATTGGAGGTCGCTCGTATTTTGCGGCCCGGAGGTCTCTTCATATCCGGCGAATTCATCAATCGTCCCGCGATCCAGGACGGGAGTGATCCGTGGATTCGCTGCCCGAGGACCTGCGAGTTCATCGAGCTGACTGCGCGTGCACTGGCGCTGCGCGGTATCTGCGTCGACCTCGCACGCACGATACCGATTTGGCTCCGACAGACCGAACAATTCTACGATATTTACAGCAATACCTACCGGCTGCCTATTGGCGAGTGGCACCCTAGCCCAGGCCAGAGGCGCCTAGGCAAGAAAGCCAGGAAAATATTTGTCGGGTTCGCGCACGCTGTGAGGCCGCTGCTGGAGAGGTCGGGCTTGAGATCGCCGCCCGAGATTCGCAGGATGATTGCTGGGTATACTCATGAGTTGGAGCATGTGAGGGGACTGATTATGTGCTATCAAGTTGTCTACGCTCGCAAGAGGTAAATAGGCTCCCCATTGAGTGTCCTTTACCGCGGACAATGCGTATGTTACAGTTGTTTGTGTAAACTCATATGAGATCAACATCGTACGGACCGTACGGTTCTCTCGCCGCTACTGAAACACGCGACGTAGGTCTACTCTCTACTAATGTTCGAGACTTCAGTTCGTAAGTACTCGAAGCAGGCCTAGGGTTTTTCGCGCGATATGTATTTGTGGCAGTATTATGAAACATTATGGCTGGAATACTCGGAGAAGTCCGGGTCCCAAAAAGGCAATACTACGACGACATTCCGACCAAAATATCCCCTCATCCTTCGACATTGAACATTGCACTCGATGCTGGCAGCGAGGACGACGGCGACGCGTACTGCAGCGCGGCTAGCGCGGTCGTTTGCGACGGTGGTCGATTCGGCTGGGGTCAAGGTCGCTGCGGTTGACTATGGCCAGCCTACGTCTGCTGTGACGGTCCTCGTCAAGGCCGGAAGCAGGTACCAGACGACACCGGGCGTCGCGCATGCCCTGAAAAACTTTGCATTCAAGGTGGATATCGTCTGTAGAATTGGGGGTAGACTGGGGAACTGACGGGTGATGCAGAGCACGGCAAAACGGTCGGCTTTGGGGACGATTCGTGAAGCGGAGTTGTATGGCGGTATCTTGTCCTCAAGCCTTTCGCGGGAGTACCTTGCGTTGACGGCCGAGTTCTTGCGAGGAGATGAGTATGTCATTACACTTTCTATCTACGAAACTCTCTTATAAGCGTTCTGGCAGAGAGTACTTCGTTGACCTTCTCTCCTCCTTCGTCACTTCCGCCAAACTCACTCGCCATGAAATGGCAGAGCTCGTCCTCCCCGTCACAGAGTCCGAGAGCACCCTTGCTCAGCAGGACCCCGCGACCCGTGCCCTGGAGCTCGCACACACCCTCGCCTTCCGCTCCGGCCTCGGGTACTCTCTGTTCGCGCCTCCCCACAGCCACCTGACGAGCGAGGACGTGCGGTCGTTCGCCTCGACCGCGTTCAGCAAGGACGGCATCGCGTTCCTCGGCACGGGCATCGACCAGTCCGCTCTGTCGAGCCTCGTGCAAAAGCATCTCGGCGGCGCACAGCTCTCGGGCAGCGGCTTCAAGGCTTCGCCATCCGCTTATCACGGCGGGGAGACGCGCGTCGAGCTCGCGACGGGCAAGCAGACCGTTTTCATCGGTTACGGCACGACGACGCCCTCGGCAGAGCTCGCCGCGCTGTCCGCGCACCTCTCCGCGGAGCCGTCGGTGAAGTGGGCGCAGAGCACGTCGCCGGCCGCGGCCGGCTTGCCTTCGGGCACGACGGTGCAGTCGGTGTACCTCCCATACTCGGACGCGGCGCTGTTCGGTATCCTCGTCCAGGGTCCGACGGCCGAGGCGGTGAAGCAGGCCGGGCAGACCGCTGTGAAGGCGCTGAAGGAGGCGACCGGGTCGGGGCTCAAGGCTGAGGAGCTGAAGAAGGCGGTGGCAAAGGCCAAGTTCCAGGCCGCGAGCGCTACTGACCGTCGGGACAGCATCTTCTCTGTCCTCGGTTCCAAGGTATGTATGATGGTGGTTTCCTAGACCCCGCTCACGCTCTCCCAGGTACTCGCTGGATCGGAGGCATCGGCGGACAGCTTAATCTCGTCGCTGGACAAGATCGACTCGGCCGCTTTCTCAAAGGTACGCCGTCAGCATTGGTTTCACCATTCCTCATCTCACACGACGTTGCAGGCGGCTTCTGCTCTCGTCAAGGCGAAGCCCACGTACGTTGCGGTAGGACATGTGGACGCCCTCCCCTATCCTGATGAATTGGGTCTTTGAGCAATATTAGAGTGCCTGTAATTAGATGGTCTAAAGCACCTAATATTATTCGTATCTTTTCTCATAACCCCGCCGTATGACGTGAAAGATATGACAGGAAGTGGCAAATGAGGGGCGACCAAGGGGATCTGAGTCTGCATGTTTTGTATGTAACCCCTCCACTGTGACATTGCTTACTAACGAGTACGACAGGGAAGACATGCAAACCCTTCTGCGCTCAGTGTCGGCTCTTCTGCAAGCTACGGATGATTTTGGTTCCTTTGGTAGATTCGGGGAAACCTACAAGCCATGGCTGAGAGCTCCCAGGTACCTTGCGCGAAGTCGTTCTTTCAATCGCCGAGCTATCGATCCAGTCGGATATTACTCTCGTCCGTATGGTATCATGCTGACATGAAGTTGGTCCTACATGCGTCATCCAACTATTCCGATAACAAGTCTCCTGGATATCGCGGGATTCATTGGACGTGTGCTCACTCGGTTCCCTAAGGAGAACACTGGAAGCGGAGGACGTTCAGCATCGAAGGATATCGCAAGGTTGCGGTTTACATAATCGTTGAATTGACGCCTTTTACCACTTTCCGAGTCTGCTGCTCAAATGACAAGTGGATTGGATGGCAGCAAGATGGCAGGGGAGAGGAAGAGCGAGGCTGACGGTCAGTAAGTACCCCACCGTGAGTACTTCGTGTACGATCGACGATATCCCTCCCTTCACGGTGAAGACATGAACCGGCCGACGCGGGGGCGCTGTCTCCAACTTCTCCCCCTCGTCACACCCATGCTCCGGGCCTTAGGTGCGTCGGTTGTAGGGGTGACTATTGCCTCAGAACCTGAATGTGCTTACGTTTGGAGCCAAAGTTATTCTCTGTGCTTATCAACATGGTATTTCTTGGGCGGAGAATGCCCTTGCGGACTTCAAAAGCCACCTTGGTTGACGTGCACGGTGAGTGAAGGTCCTTACTCCGACCGCTTCACGCGTGGAACGGTTCGACTACGGACCCTCGCTCGTAGTCACCCGGCAATGCCTGACTCGTCGGCGCCCACGCCTTTGACCCATATCACAATATCAACCTCTTCACGCCTAGGTGAAGTGGTTGATTTTGTGAAAGGGCACTACTGTGAGTATATAAACCCGTCTCTCTCCCGTTTTCGCTCTCCAGCATCTTGACCTCGAACGTCGACGTTCTAGCGCTACCCGCGATACAATGTTCTTGAACGTTCTTATCTACGTCTTGAGCGGGGTCTCCCTGCTTTCGACGCTCTTGAACGGCTTGCACCTCTCCCTGCCAACTGCATTGAGCCTCTTCTCCAGCGATAGCCTCTTCTTCTTGCCTCATATCTCCCTCGTCCTCTTCCCCAAGTCTTCGTTTGTGCCTGTTCCGTTTACTCAGCCTTCGACTGCCATCTCGCCACTGTTTAGCATCGTCGACACTACCATTCCCGGGCTATTGTCGCCCGCTCTCTACTACTCTAGCACCGAGGTCTCCAGCGACATCAAGCAGGACGTCTTCGACAGCGCAGCCGAAGCCGCGATTACTACGGACCTCGTCGTCTATGCGCCCTCTATTGGTCCCGATGAATACCCTCTGGAACGTCTCGTCGCTTTCCGCGACTATTCTCCCAAGCCCTCCACTCCGACGTGCGGCGTTTTTGATTTACTCGACTCTGCCTCGTTTCTCGAGCACTCTTTGGATTTGGCTGCCCCGGTCGCCTCTACCCCGGAGATTATCTCTGGCTTGTCCTTCGAACTGACAATCCGTTCATCTTCGGAGCTCACTGTCTATGAGCATCGTGACCACTTTGTCTGCCCCGCGTCGGCGCCTAATGTAGTGTCTTCTGAGCCGGCTGTCCGCCCTTCTGAGCTGGCAGTCTACCAACCCCACGATATCTTTGTCTGCCTCGCGTCGCCGTCTCCGTCCCATGTATTCTCTAACGTCTCGCAAAAGTCGCGTCCCTCGCCGGTTAACGAGCGGGATGTGGACTACATGCCTCAACACGTCCCATCCCTATCTGCGCTCGTAATCATTGGTCGGGCACCAACTGCAATGCCTACCGGCAATGACGCCTTCATCGAGACAGCTTCACGTACCATGGGCGCCATCTACAGGCGGCTAGCTTCAATATTCTACAATCTACCTTGGACTGGTCTCGATATACCGGCGCCGCAAGAGTACTGGCAGAAGCTGGTCTGTCATTGGGTGACTCGTCTGTACACTATCATGAAGTTGAGGTCTCGTGCCCCCTATATTGCGTTGGGTATCACGATGGTCAAGGGTCAAACGGTGGATGATCAAGAGGTGCGTCATTATCACTCTCCTGCATAGCAGTTGTTTACTCTCGCACCCTTTAGCCTATACCTTCCGAGCCAGTCGAATGGTCTGCTCGGGCGGCTAAGCGCAAAGCTCAGATCCGCTCGCATGCTCGCCGCCGTCTTCGGCGGCAAATCGAGCGTGACAGCAAATGCGACGACGACGCTTTCGAAGATGTGATGATTTAGTACGGGAGGGCGTACGGGGTGCGATGGCTTATTCGGTGAGTGACTCGCGTCAGCTATCATCCGATGCTGGTATTGATCGTTTCATTTCAGTTACTGCCTTGGTTGCGAATCGTACCGGAGGACTATTGCGAGGTGAGGGGGAGCTCGCTCTCTTCCGCTGGTCGAGGTCCATGAGACTTAGGTCTACCGCCGTCACCCACTCGCCTCGGCACTCATAAGTATCAAGACAGTTAGCTCAAGTCTCGCAGATCACAACAACACTTCGCCATACCCCAGATGCTAGCCCTTGGATAGTCAACCTCTTGCCTTCTCGGAGTTCTTCTCTCGATTTGGATCGTTCAAGTATACTGTCTATCAATCCTCGGATGGCGACCATTGTCAATCGCCGCCTGGTTTACCTCGTCAAGTCATCGTCGGCTCTGGAAGTCTGCGTAAACCCATCGCCTCGCACATTTGAAGCCCGTCGTCACTGGGGGCCCTGCGATCTGAAGTAATGCCCAGCGGCAGCGGTACGGAGAGGCGCTGAGCCAGGACGTAGTGGTGGGGACCGATCACCCCCTGCCATGCTTTAAACCACGGCATAATACGAAGGCCTTACTGGAAGATGAGCTGGGACCACTTACAGGCTGTCTAATGGGGGACGCCCCTGACGGCAGCTCGCTGGCTCTTCTCCCGCTCTGCACCTGTGCGCCTTCTGTTCTGGGCTTGCCAGTACCGCTTCACTTGGTGTCCTCACCTTGCGGTTCATGTCGACGTCGCCTTCCATCATGTTAGAGCGTTCCGTACGTAGTGCTCTTTAAAATTTTGTATTTTCTTATATTGTCCAATCATCTTTTTCATCTTTCTCATCTCCAATGTTTCGTTTCTTGATTGTCTCCGTTCAGTACTATGTCGGTGTCTCTTGTACCCAATCCAATATATCAGATGTTCATCGAGTCCAGGAATGCGTAACAAGACGCATGAATGACAAGCTATTACTGCAGAATTAATTTACCCCTAACGAGGAAAATAATTATGTGCCAACAGGTTAACCATAACCGGCGGCATCTCATTCAACGACGGACTTCGACATCGACGGCGTAGCCATTGTAGACGCGCAGGCCGCATCGACCGTCGGAACAGAGTCTGCTATTGCTTTCTATGTCAGAGATCCCATTGCGTACTATCGGACGCTCTAAGCACTCTAAAGCTGGCTACTCTCGCATTAACGACTCGGAAGAGGCTGAGCACGATACCACTCATAGACAGGATACCAATCACTCCGCGGACATGCAGTCGAACGCGTGGACAGCAAGCACAACTTCTTCCATGACAGGAGGAAAGAGGCGAAAGGGGAAGGACAGGTATGTGGACGACCCGGAGGAGGAGGAGACACTGCTCGGAGAGGAGGAACGAGGGAGGAGAAGTGAGGACGCGGACGGGACGTCTATGCACTCGCATTCATCACAGGCACGTCTTTCGCGGCCTGTAGTATAGCTCCTTGTTTAATTCCCGTATGCCTGCGTAATTTCAGCGAACTTCCATTCTGCGCAAGTCAAATAGTAAAGACAAGTCGCGAACGGTGCCCTTGAGACCACCAGGTGGGTGAGCAGGGATCATGAGATCGGGGCAGGACATGACCGGTCCAGTGCAGAGAAACTGCAGAGCCGATATCCTTCGAACATCGTCCGCAACCAAAAGTATAATGCTTTCACCTTCCTGCCCATGGTATTCTACGAGCAGTTCAAGTTCTTCTTCAACCTATACTTCCTGCTGGTAGCCCTCTCGCAGTTCATCCCAGCTCTGAAGATCGGTCAGTGCGCAATATTACACGGCCCAATGGTCTCACTAAACGATGGTGTACAGGGTTCATTGCTACATATGTCGCCCCGCTCGCTTTCGTACTGTGCGTGACCATGGGCAAAGAGGCATACGACGACTACCAGCGCTATCTGCGAGACCGCGAAGCAAACTCAGCGCGCTACCTCACCCTAGACGCGACGGAACCCATCGACAGCGGCCCGCACACTCGCTCGGTGCCCTCGTCGTCCCTGCGCGTCGGGGATCTCGTGCTGCTCGAGAAGAACCAGCGGGTGCCTGCGGACCTCGTGCTCTTGCGGACATCGGATAGCTCTGGGACGTGTTTCATTCGCACGGATCAGCTGGATGGTGAGACGGATTGGAAGTTGCGTGTTGCGGTGCCCGCGTGCCAGAAGCTGCCGTCCGACAAGGATCTGCTAGGTCTGGATGCTGAGATATACGGTGAGGTTATCATGTCAATGACCCTGGCCTACTCACATTGATACATTGCTAGCTGATGCCCCAATCAAGGACATCCATACCTTCATTGGTACATTCACTATCAACTCACCGCCGGTATCTGCGGATACTGGTGACGTACCTATGGTTCCTGTGCCTACAGTAGAACCTCTGACGGCTGAGAATATGCTCTGGGCCAACACGGTTCTGGCAGCAGGGTCTGCCGTAGGCTTAGTCATTTACACCGGTCCAGAGACGCGTGCAGTGATGAATACCAGTCATCCGCAGACGAAAGTGGGTTTGCTGGACCTCGAAATCAACAGACTTGCGAAAGTGAGTGAGTTCCCATCAGGTATCGGGAGCGACTAAGACATGGGCCGTAGATTCTTTGTGCAGTCACATTCGCGCTGTCGTTGACCCTTGTCGCTCTCAACGGTTTTCGCGGTCTATGGTATATCTACGTGTTCAGGTTCTTGATCCTGTTTTCTTCCATCATCCCCATCAGGTACGGATTTCCTGAAAGGTGTGTGCAAATGGAACTGATTAGAATACCAGTCTTCGCGTCAATCTTGACATGGGCAAGACTGTATACGCCCACCAGATCGAACACGATAGCGAAATTCCAAATACCATCGTGCGAACGAGCACGCTACCAGAGGAATTAGGACGGATAGAATACCTTCTCAGCGACAAGACAGGCACCCTGACTCAGAACGGTAGGTAGCATCCCTGTGAAACGCGCTGCCATGTTCTAACATGCATGTTGAAGAGATGGAGATGAAGAAATTACATATGGGCACGATGTCGTACGGCTCAGACTCCATGGACGAAGTGGGCCATCAACTATCTATCGCATTTGGCACGACCGGCGATCAAGGTACATACAGCGTTCTCCGGTTTAGCGGCTTGACTCGTATGCTGATAGTTGCTTAAGCACACAAGAGGCAAGGTTCAATGATGACCGGAGTGCAGCTAGCTACGAGAGGCCGGAGGGACATGTCTTCCCGAGTCAAGGACGTTGTGCTAAGCCTTGCTCTATGCCACAACGTAAGTCTTAGCCGTCTGAGTGCGAGGGGACTGAGGAGCATGATTCCTTAGGTTACGCCTGTGACGAACGACGACGGAACTATCACGTATCAAGCATCATCCCCTGACGAAGTCGCCATTGTACAATGGACAGAGTCTGTTGGACTGACACTGGTGTTCCGGGACCGTACACGCATCGACCTGCAAACCCCCACAGGAAGTCGTGTCACATTCGAAGTGTTGGACATCTTCCCATTCACGTCTGAGTCCAAGCGCATGGGTATTGTCGTGCGGGACGCCCAGACGGGTGAGATCAACTTCCTACAGAAGGGGGCGGATGTCGTCATGGCGAAGATCGTGCAACGGAACGACTGGCTGGAGGAAGAGTGCGGCAATATGGCTCGTGAAGGCTTACGCACCCTCGTCATGGCTCGGAAACGCCTGAGTGAGCAAGCATACGCGGATTTCAAAGCACGGCACCATGAAGCGAGCGTCAAGCTCGAGGGGAGGAACGAAGCCATGGCTGCTGTTGTCGCTGAGACACTTGAGCACGATCTGGAACTTCTGGGTCTGACCGGCGTCGAGGATAAGCTGCAAGATGAAGTCAAGTCAACTCTAGAGCTCTTGCGCAACGCCGGGATCAAGATCTGGATGCTTACTGGCGACAAGATTGAAACCGCAACTTGTATTGCCATATCTACTAAGCTTGTAGCAAGGAATCAGTATATCCACCAAGTTGCAAAGCGTTTGTACTCCCGTCTCACGATTTTACCGGTTCCTAACTTCAGCATACACAGTTAAGACCTCCAATGAAGTACGGGATCAATTGGAATTCCTGCAGTCCAAATTGGACTGTTGTCTGATCATCGATGGCGAATCTCTACAGGTAAGTGCTTGTTAGGACAAAAAGAATTTAGCCTCGCTGAGATTCTGTCCAGCTCTGTCTTACATCATTCAAGAACGAGTTTATCGAAATAGCGACGAAACTGTCGGCGGTTGTTGCATGTCGATGTTCACCTACACAGAAGGCAGACGTGGCGCGTCTAATTCGGCAGTTCACGAAGAAGCGAGTATGCTGTATAGGCGATGGTGGCAACGACGTCAGCATGATCCAAGCAGCAGACGTTGGTTAGTCGCCTCGATCCATCTGTATTGGTCACGGTATCTGACAAGCTCGTCTAGGTGTCGGTATAGTGGGGAAGGAGGGGAAACAAGCATCCCTGGCCGCGGACTTCTCAGTTACGCAGTTCAGCCATCTCACCAAGCTCCTTATGTGGCACGGACGGAACTCGTACCGACGCTCGGCCAAGCTGGCTCAGTTCGTTATCCACCGTGGCCTGATCATTTCTATCATGCAGGCGGTCTTCTCTGCCATCTTTTACTATGCCCCGATTGCACTGTACCAAGGATGGCTCATGGTCGGTTATGCAACCGTCTACACCATGGCACCTGTCTTTTCTCTTGTTTTGGATCGTGACGTGAACGAAGACTTGGCTCTTCTATACCCCGAATTGTACAAGGACCTGACGAAGGTACGTGCTTTGAATTATTCACGGTATGTGACCTGATTAGTGTATGAAGGGACGAGTGCTGTCGTATAAGACGTTCTTCATGTGGCTCATGATCAGTCTATACCAAGGTCCGTACGTCCACCTCATAAACCAAAGATCTGGCAACTGATCTTGCTCCCCCGCAGGCGGGGCGATCATGATAATGTCGCTCGTTCTCTTCGAGAACGAATTCCTGAATATCGTGTCTATCTCATTTACTGCTCTTATCTTAAACGAACTCATAATGGTGGCTCTGGAAATCACGACATGGTAAAGTTGCCTCTTCCCCCATTTGGTTGCTGGCTGAATTCTCTGGTTTTCAGGCACTTATACATGATAATCTCGGAAATAGTCACTCTATTATTGTACGCCGTCAGCATGGTATTTTTGCCCGAATATTTCGGTGAGGCCGACGTCCATCTACGTTCCGAGACTCCGGCTAAGCATGTTGTACAGATTTAAGTTTCGTGGTGTCGGTACGGTTTGCCTGGAAAGTAGCGGTCATAGTTGCTGTCAGCGCTCTACCATTGTATATTATCAAGTTCATAAAGAGCCGCGTCGCTCCCGCAGCGTCGAGTAAATTATTATAACTTAGTACTCTTCGCACTGCAGGAATCTTTATGTGTATCATTCATTTCACGTCAGTGGGCATGCGCACAGCAAAGCAAAGTATTGCAGGATGGATCGAACAATAAAAAAAATGCGGAGTGCAAGATGCAAAGGATGGACGCTAACTGCCATTATGTGGAGCGGGTGAAGGTGCGTGGTGAAGGAAAGGACTAGCAAAGAAGTTCGTCGCAGATGGGTGCCATCCTGGAGGAGGCGCAGAGTCGACACTTCCCCAAAGCATATTTGCTGCTGCCCCGGGAGCACGAGGGGAACCGAAACCTACCGGGGGAGAACCCCAGGGAGGTCTGGCGGCATCCGGGAGGGTCGCATCGCGAGGGCTGGGGTTACCCCATACTTGCCCAGGGGGAGCGTTGACTACCCGCCTAGGAGGTGCAGTGACGACTTCGTCGTCGTCAGCGGCCAGAGCGGACGAGCCCAGAGTACCCTTGGGACTAGGTGATCGACGGACCGGGGAACCCGATCCTGCCGATCCTGAAGCGTCGCCAGATGCAGCGGGCCTAGCAATTGGAGCAACAGGGCGAGTGATAGGGCCAGGATCCGGGTTGCTGGGAGGAAGCCGGCTAGGACCAGGAGCCATACTGGGAGGAGGAGAAGCCAGAGGATTCTGCACCACCTTAGTCGGAGGAGCAATGGGTGGCGGCACGCCACGACCAAACATGGATCCGTCAAAAGCCGGTCCATTAGCGAAAGTCCTAGGAAGAGCAGACGGACCCAACTGGGGAGGCGGCCCAGGCGGCATCGGAGGAGCTGGGACGAACGACCCGTAAGACGTGGAAGGCGTGAAGGGAACCCTGGGCGACATGGCTTGAGGAGGAATAACACCACCGCCGGGCGAGTATATGGGCGTCGAGGGGGGTATATGCGGTACCTGAGCAGTAATGGGAGTCGCAGGCTGAGAGGCGGTCACAACCACTGGCCTGGGCTGCAGAGGCTGCGGCTGCTGTCGGGGAGGCTGAACAAGAGGAGCCGGGGGCTGAGGGGGCTTGTTGAGGATCTTCTTAGCAGGAACATTGTTCGGAGGTGAACGCGGCTGGGAAGAACTCGCGACAGGAGCATTGCGGGGAGACGGAGGAGGGCGAGCATTGGCAGCCCTGGCAGCGGCTCGCTGCTGCTGCTGTTGCTGCTGCTGTTGCTGTTGCTGTTGCTGTTGCTGCTGTGCAGCACGCTCCCGGGCCTCCTTCTCCGCTTTCTCCTTCTCCTCCTTCTCCTTAGCGAGTCGCTTCTCTCGTTCCTCGCGCTCCTTCTCCTCGCGTTCGCGTTTGGCAGCCTCGGCAGCAGCTTTCTCTGCAGCCAACTTCGCCTCACGCTCTTGCTTAGCTTTCCGCTCCTTCTCCTCCTTTTCACGCCGCTCGGCCTTGAGCTTCTCCTCCTTCTCCTTGCGTTTGCGTTCACGTTCCGCTTCACGCTCTTTCTCCTCCGCTATTCGTTTACGCCGCTCTTCCTCCTTGCGTTGTCGTTCCTCCTCCTGGGCCTTTCGGGCTGCCTCGCGTTTCGCGCGTTCCTCCTCACGCTTCTTGCGCTGCTCCTCTTCAAGAGCTGCTTGCCTGGCTTTCTGAGCAGCCTCCTCTGCGGCCTTCTCAGCAGCCTTCTGGGCTCGCTCCTCCTCCTTGGCCATCTTCTGAGCCCTGAGAACATGAGTTAGGTATTAGTCCACTGGACATTCTAATGTGGAGCACGTACAGTTTCTTAGCCTTTTTCTTCTGGCTCTGGCTCTGCTTCTTCACATCCTTCTCCTTGGCCGCCTTCTCCTCCTCTTCGAGTTCCCTCAGGAGTTGGAGCTGCCTCTCCTGTGCAACCCGCTCGCGATATGCTTGAAGGACCCGCTGCTCGAACATCCGAGCGGCGAAAATGGAGAACATCCGCTTGCCCTCCTCCATTTTCTGCTCGTCCGTCATGACTTCCTCCTCCTCTTCATCGTCCTCGTCGTCCTCATCCTCTTCGTCTTCATCCTCTTCGTCGCCCTCTTCGTCGTCTTCCTCTTCGCTATCGTCCTCAACTTCGACGGCCGCCTCTTCCTCGCGCTGCATTCGCCGCTCGGCCAATTGCTCCATCATCTCCAAGAACTTCTGTCCGTCATTCTTCAAGAGATCATCCGCGACAGTCAAGATGTTGCCTGGCCCTGTTTATGAGTTAGGTTCGAGAGACATAGAAAGATCTGAACAACATGCCTGTAACAGTGAGGTCTCCAAAGGTGAAGAGCCCGTCACGTTCTGCCTTGGCACCATTCGGCCGTCTGCCCCGCCCAGGCGCACCTCTACGACCTCGCGGCGGCTTGGCCTCGTCCTCATCCTCCGCATCACCATCATCCTCTTCATCCTCCTCTTCCTCATCCTCTTCTTCCTCGTACTCCTCCTCCTCCTCTTCATACTCCTCTTCATCGCCATCATCCTCGTCAAACTCGCTCTCTTGCTTCACGGTTTTCCGACCATTCGCCACAACAGAGTTCTTCGTCCGCTGTGGCAACTTCGGGCCACCGATAACAGCGCCATTCTTATCGAGTTCGACGCTGCCCGGAAAGGGGCCCGGTCCAGGTGGAGGAGGTATTGTGCCGCCGGAGGACACGTATCGCTGCTGGTAATTCGCGTACTGTTCTAGCTCATCGTAGTAGGCATCGTACAGTACCTCGAGCTCTTCCTCTATGGCGTTCCTATCACCGAGTGAACGAGACGATGCGCGAAAACGAGCGAATGCAGGACGGAGGTTGCAGGGAACATGGAAAAGGAGCCACCAGTGTCAGCGAAAAATTTTGTGGACGAGCCAAGCAAAAGTGACAGACCGCTTCCGCCCGCACACGGCACAACTACACGAATGCTTTTGCTGCTCTTTCATCTTCTTGAGCACGGCCTCCTTCTCCACCTTGACCAAGTTCCGCCGCTCTTCTTCCCCGAGGCCCAGCCAAAACTCCTTGATCCGTTCCCGCTCCTCGGCCGAGCTGGTACTCCAGATCTTGTTCGTCTCCTTACCTTTCCCATTCGGCTGAGACTGGCTGGCAGACGGCGGACGAGGCTTTTGCGGCGCGGACGCATTGGAAGATGGCGGCGATGGATGGTGATGGGGGTGGTTGTGCGGGTACGCGTGCGCGGAAACAGGAGCCTTGGACGCGGCGCGCGCCGTCCGGGTCTGCGACTGCGGGGTCGTCGTCGTCGTCGGCGCTGGTGACGAGTAAGACATTGGCTGCTTGCCGGCCGCTCTCGAGCTCGGCGGCGGATGTCCAGCAGTCGTGCGCGCGGCGGGCATGGGGTTACTGGCAGAAACAGGCGCCGGAGGATTTGTCACTGGCATTGTCGGGCTCGCGGCCGGTGGCGGTCCTTTCGGCACCGGGACCGGCGCCGGAACCGGTTCCATATTAGGCGGAGGGGGTGTCGATATGGCATTGTTTCTTTTCTTTTTCTTTTTGTTTTTCTTCCGTTTCGAGCCATCTTCCGCGCCGTTCGTCTGCACTTCGTGGTTGTTCGTGCCATTCGTCCTGGCGTGCGCGTCGTCGTAGCTTAGCGTAAAAGGAGACCGTTGTGCTGCTACGCGCGGGTCAAGGCCGTCCATGTCGTCCATATTTTCGTCCACTTCGTCTTCGCTGAAGTATTCTTCCTCGTTGTAACCTTGCTCATCCATGCCAAAGTCATCAAAGAGAACGACATTCGCCTGCGACAGCGACCCGGGAGGATGCTGGTCCGACACAGAGTGCACGGCGTTCGCGGCAACTTGCTCCATGACTGAGTTGAGGGCGGGATCGGAAAAGATTGAAGGGTCGAAGGGCAATGAAGTTGGGTAAGCACCAGGAGGATAACCTGCCGCACCTTTCGTCGGACCGTTCTTGACACCAGACTGGACCATCTGCTGCGCGATCGCGTACAGCGCCTGAGCCTTTTCCTTCTCGTCACCACAGGAAATCAAAACAGAATAAGCACTGCGTACAAAGTTGCGTATGTGCGCCGGCAATGTCTCCCAGTACTCGTCATCCTCAGGAATGCCGCCGTGCGGATCTGCATCCATCCTCCGATACAGCTCGTTCGCCGTCGCTACAAGCTCAGCCTGTGCAATGTCGGCCGGATTAAGTCTTGCAGCAGCAGCAGACGCGGAGAGGGATGCCGTGGTCGACAGATGCACTGACTCGAGCTCCGGTGATAGTCCCGTGCGAGAGACGGAACGAGGCGACCCCATAGCAGGTTCCAGCTCGGGCAGCGGGGATTCATCGTAGTCGTACTCCTCGTGAGACGCTATCACGTCCGCCTCACCGTTCCGCCCCTTCCCTTTCTTCTTTTTCTTCTTCTTGCCGTTCACGGCCTGCGACGGGCTGTTAGGAACGGGCACGGGAGGTGGCGCGTTCGTGGGATGCACAGTCCGTCCAGGCGTCGTTCCTGCGGCTTGCTTGGCCTTCTGTGCTTTCGTAGCCGCCATAGAGAACAGAACCGAGCGCTAGCGCTCCGATATCGTAGTCCCAAGCGTGCAGCACTAGCAGAGTCAGCGAAAGCAGTGTCCAGAGTCAAATGAGTAATCCCTGATCCGGGTGAATTGGTGCAGAACAGAAGTCGGATACAGCAAGCGGATGGTAAGTGCTTGTATTTCACAAAACACTGCTGTAACGACTCACGTTGTATCGTCCGGTGTCGTTCAGTATCGCTTGTGCTGTCTGCACGACGGCGCCTATACTCAAATGTCGAGATAATCGAAGGACGAAAGCAGTAAATGTCAGGTCTGGGATCATGCCGGCAATAGTCTCACGCCTCCGGCTCGGCCTATAATTATTTACGGTAATCCAAGTTATCTATTCCTGTATTCGACCCTTTGACGCCGGTATCGCCAGAGGACCCGGCCGGCTGACACGAAGTCCACGTAGCCCTATAGCCCATGGCCCATGGCCCATTTGTCATCGGGCTACATAGACTTCGTAACTTCTTAGCCCTGTCTGGGGTAGGACAGCAAGCCGGCTTGCTGCCCCCCTCGGGACCTCTCGGCGCTCGCAAGCGAGCCCTTTGATCGTCACAGAACATCGAGCGAGAGCGGTGAATGTGGCGAGTATATATACTGATGCTCATTCCGACGCGCTGCACGTCGTTCGACCCCCTCGCGCATGTAGGTACAGTGTTAATATGTTATATAGTACCTATGAAATACGTATAGTACTGGTCAATGAAAACATTTAACAATGAAACCGCAATCAGTAGCTCACGCCCACTTCAAAGTTATCAAGTTGTGTAGTACTAATAGTGTTGCCGCTGTCACGTATGTGCACGTTGATTCCAGAAAACTTCAGACGGTTGTAGACCTCAACACCGAGTCACAGTGTTCTCCACTGTTTTCCATCTAAGTACATAGAAAGGGTGACATGTCAGACCACGCATACGTACGACGCACACTGAGCCCGTTAGGGTGCGCGATTAAGCGCGAGACCTGTATGCCACATACGCGACGAGCTGCAGATTCCATCCTGTATCGTTTATCGAGTCCATTATTCTTCAATACATAAATAGATCTTGCAGTACAGTCAATTTGTATGGGTAAAAGTAGTCTACAGCGCCCTACGTCGTCTATGAGGGCGTCGAATGCACCTCGCGCAACAGTATATATACACTGTGGAACCCTTCGGCCTTGTCACATAGCTCCGGGCCATAGACGTAACGGACTCCCATAGCCCGTCCACTTTTGTCTTCATAGCCCCGTGGCCCGGGGCTACGGACTCGTAGCCTCATAGCCCTATAGCCCTCCGAGGGCCATGGACCAGGGCTATAGGGCTAGGCTATAGGGCTACGTGGACTTTCTGTCAGTCGGCCGTGCGTTCTCGGTATCGCTGCGATAATCAAGCCAAACTGCTCCGAAGGCACTACCGCGTTAGGGTGCTGCACCCGAGGTGCCCGAAACTAGGTCATGATGTATCAGATACTAAGCTGGAATTATCCAGCTAAATCTCCGAAGAGGGACCGTATACAGTATACTGCCAATGACCGTGAAGCAATACTCAGACCCCGATTGAAGGCAATTCAGCCCCTTGCAGGGCTCCGGAGGTCCAGAATACACGGTCTGCAAGCCATGCATATGCATCCTGTCTGTCCGGTCTATGTCACAATCGGTCACAAGCCAACCATAAATCCACCCGTCCCAACAGACTCCAGCTGGATCTGCCCGTTCGAATACGTCGCCCCGCTATTGAACACTTCCGTGACTTGCCCCAGCGATCCAGGGATCAGCGCAGCCAGATCCAGCGTGGCGTTGAAGTAATTGAGATTAGTAGCGAGCACAAGCGTCTGCGTGCCCACAGTCCACATGCCGACGTCCACGCGGTCGGCGGTGGACTGCTTGTACGTCGCGGAAGGCGAGAGAATGAAGGCCTCGAGGGTGGGGAGCGCCTTGGCGAGAATAGTCGCTGAATTCGTAATGTCCGTGGTCGTGGGGTCGTTCCAGGGTACAACACCTGTGACGGTTTAGTATGCATAGGAGCTTCGGCACGTATGTGCCAAAATGTGACTCACCGAGGCCTCCATGGTTGATCCCGAGCACACTCTCGACCACCCACTCTTTCCCAGAAGGCACGCGATTCCAGAACCTATGTTGTTAAACGTAAACAGAGCACGAAGAGAATACGCTCCTCATACTCACTGCGCATTGCCAAAAGCCTGAGGGACCGTCCACAAAGCCTTCGTCCTGTCCCACCCGAGCACCTCCAGCCTCTGCCGGAACTCGTCCATCCGATTCGAGATATCCTCGAAATCACCAACGCAATTATCGCACCCGCAACACCCGTAATCCGGTGTACATTCCGTGTGGTACTCCACCGACCACGTAGCATTGATGCCTATAGGATACGTGTCCTGCATGACTATATCAGCGCCAGAGGAATATTCCGTGAAGTGATAGTCCTGGCAGTTTAAGACCAGGGAAACGGGGTGGTAGCCGTCGAGCTCGTAGATCAGGTCATACGCGTTCAAGGTGGCGTTCAAAGGGTCTCCGCTGCCGTCTGGCTCATCGCCGGTGTACCAGAGCAGAAGGTTGGACCGGTTCTTGAACATGTTCACTTGCTCGGTGACTGCAGTAGCGTTCTGGTAATCCCTGTCGTGCAGCTAAGACAGGGGAATCCCAGACAAACGACACTCATACGCACCATCGCATATCGTACATCAGATACAGTCCCACCTCCGCCATACGATCGACAACCAGGCTGAATTGAGTCAAGTTGTCGTAGTCGGGAACCGGGTGCACCTGGACACGCGTCAGCACGGGCACATACAATGACCAGGTAAACTGTTATTTACAATTGTATATCTAGCAAAGTAGTTTAGCCCAGTCCTGTCGCTGTGCCATGAGAGACTCACCCTCTCGCCGCGATATCGTCTATGAAGGAGAGATTATAATTCGTGTCCAAATAGCCTCCCCAGTTGGTATAGAACCCAAGCGGGAACACAGGGCCGTAAGGACCAGAAGGATTGTTCGCCGGCTTAGCCAACAAGCTACCAGAGCGCAAGTCCATCTTCGTGACAGAACCTGTCTCTGGGTTGGGCAAATACGAAAGAGCGGTGCCGGCTTCAAACGTCTGCTTAGCCCCGCCAGGAGGGGAGTACGTCGCGCTGCAGGATACATCGTATGCCTGTTTCTGGGTTTGCAAACCGACCAGGGAGAACGGCAGCTCCACCTTGCTGGCGTTCAGCGGAACGACGCCGGTTGTGAGGAACTTGCCATTCGCCGTAACAGTAACGAGTAAGTCGCCGAGAAGACTATTTGACGGTAGCGTGATAGGGCTAGCTCCGCTAATCTGCTGGTAGGTAATAGGCGAATCCACGATGATAGCGGCTGGAGTCAAAGCATCCTCTTCCAAGTATGGCTTGATAGCTGGAGCACATCGGAGCGCCAGGAGCGGTTCCGTGGACGTTGCGGGAGCGGGGAATTCACCACCTGGCGGTATAATCGGCGAACCTACAGTGTAATCCTTACCGCACCTATAATTCCGACATTAGGATAACTATGATGCAAGCCGTGGGCAGTAGCAACTCACCATGTCTGCCCCAACACCCTGCTCACCCCGTATGAACCGAGCAGTAGTGCCTGCAGTCGCGCCATGGGACGAAAAAGACCTAGACCGGACAGGAATTTCGCGGCTGGTCAGTTATAAGCAGCTCTCCGAAAGGCCATGTGAGACGACCGCGAAGAAGCCTGTGCGCGTGCCATCATCCTATGTGCTCAAAATATCGAGATAAGCCACTCGATTTACGTTGTTCGGCCGTCAGTATGAGTGGGATACCCTTCGACCTTGGCATAGTATTCGCTAGGATACCCAATGAGTCCCCTGGCTGGTACAGAGCACGGGCAATGATTATTCGTCTGACTCTGAGGGAGCGGATGGCACACCGACACCGATCGACATCGTGGCCGCACTCAAGATAGGAAGGCCGTGGGAACGTTGTGGTCGTGCTCAAGACGCGTCGCGACGCGTCTCTACGCGTTCCACAGCCTGCCCACCTTGAGCGCATGCTGAGCATCGTTGAGCTGGTTCAAAGAGTGACCGAGCAGACTTCGGGGTGCAAGAGCACTTATGCATCATGGTCTACGCACACGTCTCCGGTCGAAGATGGACTCGCCTTGGGATGTCACACATCTACCCAAGTGAAAAAAGCGACCACTATGCGGATCGGAGCAAGAAGCCAGCCTACGATGGACAGCGCCGGATCATCCAGGAGACTCGTTGAAAGGCGGGGACAATCGGAGTCTAAGTACCAAGAAGATCGTGCGAGTGCGAAAGGCTTTGAATCCGGACAGGAGGAACAGAGACTGACAAGAACTTGAGGGAAGAGCGTGAAGATGCGTTGGCGACGGTAGGTGATCAACCTGGCAAGCCTTCGGCCGACCGGTTTGCGCAATGGTGAATACAAGCACGACTTACGCCCTGGGCGTTTATCTCAGCACATCTGAACGACAATACAAAATGTGGTACGGAATACATGCGACTGATTACTGGAGATAAGTGGGACAACAGACGAGAGATTGATAAGAAACTGGAGCATCTAGAGAACTGCTATAGTACAATGCGCGAGGAGGGTTCAAGTTCATGAAGGCAGGGAACGACAAGACACACCGCAGCACGTCAAGCCGTCAACTTGGGGATAACCTTGATCATCTGATCGATATTAATGAACTGTACCCAGCTCTCCAAGTCTTTCTGGTTATCGTGCCACACGAACTTGCTCTCCTTCGTGCCCCGGAAGAATGCAGACACGCACTGGTAGGTCTCCTCAATCAAGACGCCCCGCCGCTTCACGCCAAGAACCGAGCGGAATATCCTGAACTCCCAGCCCTGCAGCGGTGCGCCGTCGCCCATGGCCTCTTCCTGCGGGATATTGAATTCGAGCCGTGACCAGTCAAACCCGATGGGCTGTCCGATGGCCTTGATGTACGCCTGTTTCAGCGCGAGGAGAATACACAGTCGGCGGAGAATGACATCGTCGGCAAGGTCGGGTGTGATGAAGGACAATTCAAGAGTTGTGAGCTGGACGCCGAGGGCTCGATCAACCACCATCGTCCGCCCGCGAACAAGCGCCACATACCTTATGAGACAGCGACTCCGCGTACGCCTTCACCGTCACGTCGCGCGGCTCGACCGCAAGCTGCTTGATCCCAATACCAATATTGACGACCTCGCGCTGGCGCCCCTGGACCATGGCCATGCCAACGAGCGAATTCTCGTACGCGAGGCTGTATCCAATCATCGAGCGCAGCCATCGATCGGGGTGCATGCCCTCTGGGTCCTGCGCTCCGTCAGCCCCTCCGATGCCCGTGCGATGAAGCGCGGACGCACCTGCTCAATCCAGTGCTTCCCCAGCGGCGTCGCATTGTCCTTCCACTTCGACCGCGGCACCCGGCGGTGACGCATCATCAGCAGGGGCATCATTTGACTCACAATCTGTCCTGCTCGGCGGTGAGTGCGACGTGATGGAGGAGGTGGACTGCGGGTGCTCACGAAACGACTCCCCGTTCGCTGGCTCATGTTTGATCTTGAAATGTGGGACGCACTGCTTCACAAGCTCATAGCACTCTTTGTATTCCTAATCGCGGCTGAGAGGCAGACGTGGCGGGCGGGGACTGACCGGCTTACCTCAATCGAAACTTCGCGGTTGAGCGAAAGCATCCACACGAGAAGCGGGCAGTCCATCGCAGATGTCCGTGGGTGTCAAATACGGCGCAGTTCACCACTCGTTTATCCCCAGAGTCTCTGACAGAGAAAATAAATTTGGGACAAGGTTCAATGAAAGCGGGGAGACGCACGCACTTCGCTGATATCGGGCAAATACTATATCTAGAAGAATTCATAGAAATGACAAGCAGCACCCGGTGCTTGTGTTATTCTGCGCCAAAAACGCCAGACAGCAAAGAGATATGTTGGGAATGCAGAGAGCGCCTAGTAGTACGAGACATGACAAGAAGAGTGGACTGCAGTGTTGAACTGATCTCAACCACACGTGTCTGCCGTGCATTTCCCCTTCAGGCATGAAACATAGCCACACCGACGCTTCTACTGACGTCGGATCTATCAAGGCCAAACGACGCACAGGCGTCGGGACCTGAGGCTGAGCGCTGAGGACCAGATGGCGGACGGAGGAAAAGGCATAGTTATTGGTGTAGGAAATTAAACGAATTCGACGCATTCTTATTTTTCTGCTGGTCGCCTTGGTTTAACAATTCTACTTGACTAATTTCCGTAAGAAAAGACAGGCAATTAGAGGTGTGAGCATACACATGGGAGACTTCCCAGTTGAAAGGGCTCGTCAATCGATCGAGATGGATGCAATGTCATTGTCAGGTTCTGTGGCTATTTGCCGGTGCAATTTATAGTGTCTGTGGTCCTTGTTCGGTTCCCACGGTAAGGTCCGTCTAATAACGCTGGAAATTCAACATACACAGAGATAAACATTGACTTGCAATTGAAAGACTTGCCTTTTCTCTCCCTGGTATGGTTCCCGTGAGCCCCGATAGCTTCTGCTGCAGGCCTCATGTCTGGTTAGTGAATATGCATCGGGAGGTATCAAGAATCATATGATTCCCAGAACCTCCTGACCTTCTTCTGAGCGCTCGGCTTGACAGCGTAGGTTGTTAAGTGACCCGAGCATCCATCTCTTCACTCTCATCTGGACTTTGACTCTATAGCGAAGCAAATTCATAGAATTATGGACGCGTGGTTACCTACGATCATGCCCGCACCGCGTAGCGCGGTCGAGCAAACGAAGCTGGATATGACCGTCGCAAGAAGGCGAGGATCTGTGGACGTAGGCAGCTTAAGAAGCCTCATGTACGGTCAGTGAGGTGTTTTCAATACATGGCAGCGTATTAATGATGGTCTGACTGAATACAAAGGTGGACGAGATGCATGGGAGGCGCATGCCAGGATTGTTCGTGTCATGCAAGCTGATCCGGCCTTTAACAAGTCCCGCCGGTAAGAACACCGTCACTGAGCACTGCGACCGAGACTGGAACCACCGTTTGATACGAACAAGGCTATACATGACTCGTACAGAGCGTTACGAGCGCGCATTGGCCATGACCAGACGTATATACGAGCTTAAGGACCAAGAAGGCTGGTCTGACGAAGAAACCAAGCTCGCGACTCGTCTGGTCGACGAAAACATACCCATGACTCTGCATGACCTAGGTTCATCCTCCCCTTCGTCTAAGATCCATGAGCACTCACAGATTTTTCCCCTAAGCCTTCGAGCCCGTGTTCTTTGCTCAAGCATCTCCTTCGCTCATATCCCGGTACGGACCTCTAATACAGCATCGCGGCATCCTGGGCTGCTATCTGCAGACCGAGCTCGCTCACGGGACCAACGTCCCCGCGCTCGAGACTACCGCAACGTACATACCCGAGACGCAGGAGTTTGACATCCACTCGCCCACGCTGACCAGCAGCAAATGGTGGATCGGCGCGCTCGGAAAGACAGCGACGCACGGCGTCTTGCAGGCGAGGTTGATCCTCCCTGGCGGAAAGGACCATGGGCCGCATTTATTCTTCCTCCAGCTCAGGTCCCTGGGTTAGTGCAGGGTTGATTGATCCGTTATTTTTACGGCTCCTCCTGACACACGGACTCTACACAGAGGACCACAAGCCTTTGCCGGGCATCTCCATCGGTGACATAGGTCAGTAGTAACGATACCCACTCTTCTCCTGGACGTCCGTCGATTAATCGATCTTGTAGGTCCCAAAGCTATGGCAGGTTACGCATCTACAGACAACGGTTACGCGCGGTTTGAGCACGTCCGTATACCACGGGACAACATGCTATCCAAGTTCGCAGGGGTTACGCCTGAGGGTGAGTATATCAAGCCACCCCATGCAAAGATGAGCTACGGAGGCGTGAGTGCTTCCACGTAACGATCCATGAGATTGCAAGTTGATCGGCAAGGTAGATGATGTATATCCGTGCGCAGTGAGTTGTCCGCCTTAGATAGTAATAAGCATCGGAATGGGTGAAAATGAGTTCTCTAGTTTTATCAGTAGCTGCGGCTGGGTAATGGCAAAAGGTGAGCTTCATCCGTAATGCATGTGTTTGGGTGTTTAGTCAAGTCAAACCTGCTTGCGCAGCTGCCACCGTCTCGATACGGTATAGTACTGTCCGGCGGCAAGGCAATCCAGACGCCGTAGGGCTGGAGCAGCAAGTGGTCTCGTACCCTTCCGTCCAGCATCGGCTGCTCCCGATTCTTGCCCGCGCGTACGTCTTCATCCTCCTCGGCCGACGTCTCGTAAGCACTTCGCTGCCTCTCCCTCCGTTAGATGAAGTAAAGCCCGTGCTCCCTAGCTGACCATTTTCGCTGATACCACGACACGTCTGGCGTCGGGCGACACCTCGACCCTCGCGGACATGCACGCGCTCACGAGCGCACTGAAGTCGTTGGCCACGAGGCATGCTGTGCGCGATCTCGAGGACGCGAGGAGGGCGATGGGCGGGCACGGGTACAGCGCCTACGCGGGTTTGGGCCGAGTGTACGCTGAACAGTTACCGCTCGTCACGTAAGTCAGCCGTCGACCGAGTTCATCTGCTCGGTACTGAGGGCAAGGTCAGCGCCGAGGGAGATAATTATGTGCTGGACAAGCAGGTGGTCAGGGCGGCATTGAAGGCTTTCGAGCGCAGGGATAACGGAGATCGATCCGTGTCAGCGGAATATCTCCGTGTGGTAGCCGGTGCGAAGACGCCCCAGATGACTCCGGCGTCTTGGGAGAGCTTCGAAGCGCTCGTGCTCTTACTGCAGTGGAGAGCGGCGAAGGTGGTGGAAGACCGCGCAAAGCGGGGCGATCTGGATAAGGATGCGAGCGCTGACCAGAGAGTGGCGACAGCGGTTGCGGAAGCTATTGTTGCTGCTCAGTTAGGTGCAATTGGGTCGGCGCTGCAGCTCAAGCCTCGCGAGAGAGAGATCATGCGGGATTTGCTACGGCTGGTGAGTGCTGCGATTTTGTAAATGGACGTGCAGAAGAGTTCTTCGCTTATGTGGTTGGCATAGTACCTTCTCATAACGACTGAAGCGGCCTTAGTGGACTTGATGTCTTTCGGCCTGGTCTCTGCAGCCGCAGCAAGGGAACTGCGGACGGCGATTGCAAAGCTATTTCAGCCTCTCCTTGTTGAGGCTATCGGGTTAACAGATGCATTCGGGTTCACTGACTGGGAGCTGGACAGGTGCGTCTTTCCTTGCTGCTCTTCAATCATGTGCGAGGACGTCGTGTTCTATAGTGCGCTCGGCGTATATGATGGGAATGTCTACGAGGCTCTGTGGCAGAAAGTGCAGACGGAACCTCTGAACCAGACAGAGGTCACACAGGCGTACAAGGTATGTGCGGGAATTGACCTTTGTTGATCCTTGAGATTGAACGAGCATATGTAGGAACATATAAGACCGTTGCTCGAGAGAGGGCGGGGCTTAGCTGTTCGGTCAAAGCTATGAAATTTGTAGGGCGAAACTCGTCGCAAGAGCGACCAGTACCAGCTCTTAGCAATGTGGGGTTGAATGGGAGAGACGATGTTCGCTTTACTCGCAGTCGGTACAATGATCGAAATGCACAATTGTAATATATAGTTACTCTTCTTCCTCTTCAGTGCCATCGCCGCCTTCCTCTTCTTCCTCTTCTTCTTCGTCGTTGTTGTCCTGAAGCTCCTCCTCGCTCTCTTCCTGAATCCTGCGTTTACTCGCGGGTTTGGCGCTCTTACTGGGTGGTGCAGCTTTATTTGATGTAGAGCTTGAACTCGCCGACTTGCCCTTAGCCGTTCCTTCTTTTCCTTTGGTCTTCGACTTGCGCGGCTTTTCTTCCTCGTCTTCGTCTTCCTCATCGCTCTTGATCGCGTCTGGTACTTTAGTGTAATCAATGCGTATGCCGCGGGTCCTCCTTCCGCTCGTTATGATGTTGCTCGTGTCCAGGGCGTCTAGCTCATCTTGAATGCGGTGTTAGTCTTCCGCACAACTGTACACAGTGAAACTGCCGTGCCTTCCTCGACTCCGCCGTCTTCATCGCTGCCAGCGCTGTCCTCTTCTTCGTCGCGCTTAGCCCTACGTGTAGAAGATCAACACAATGATCCTACGTTGGTTTATGATGCTCGGCGTCTTACTTTTTCTTGCGACTCTTGGCTTCCGAATCCTCTGCTCTGCGTTTACCTTTCGTCGACATCTCCTGTTTGGGGGGCAGGGTGAACCAGGCAAGTCTTGGTCTCTGGAAGCCTCGGGGTATTATTATGGAGGCGGCATTCCGTTATATCTGCCCGCAAATCGTTATATCGGATACACCCGCGAGTCTGTCCCACTTGGTATCGCGACTGCCTGATCCTGGCCTCTGTTCTGTACGGGTCCGAATAATAAGTCTCATAGCCCGGATTCCCCCAAACGCGTCCCTTGTTGGGCCGGACGATCGCCTATGCTTTCATGTCTAGATCGATGTGGGAGGCAAGGATGCCCATGCAGGGACGAACCTTGTCTCCCGACGCAGTTGATGGGATGTGCTAGATATGTATACGCAGCATATCCAGGGTCATAAGTGCCCACAGTATAATGTGATTTACTTCGGATGCAAGGGCGACGAGGCTCTACCATGCAAGGCCACTGGCAAGAGCTAATACTGTAATCGATCTCCTGGTTCTTTCATTGACTTAGAGGTCCCCATACCCCCGGCTACTTCCAGCAAGGCCTTACTAGTCTACACACTGTACACTGAATTTATACGGGGGTTGATTTCGCGGGAATACTGATGTTACCGAGTTCACGGTGAGTGCGAGTCCGCTGAGAGCGGTGAACCGTCCTCGATGAGCAATGGCTCATCGAACCGTTCCCGCATATCTATGTGCTGTGTCACCTGTCGGACGCATAGTCAGCATTGGTGTTATCTGAAGGTATCATCTCACATCTGACCAGATTACCTCCAGGCTTGCTCACGCCTATCTCTAGCCTGTCGATGTTGATGGTCCCTTTCGGGACCGATGACTGACGTCCACCGGTGTGCAAATTTGGCAAGTCGATAGTGACTGGCGACTGCTCGAAGGAGCGGCGCAGATGATTGCGGGCGTTCAACCTGCGCGGACGATTTAGTTCCAATGCTAGTACGACTCGCATGCCAGTGAGTGATTGCTACTCACAGGGCTATGAAGGAATTAACGTAGACTGCACGTCCCAAATTAGTTAACGCTCAAGTCGTGTGTTCAAAGAGACCGGGCATACGTTTCGGGATTACAAAGACGAATGCGAGGTACACCAAGTTGTCGGACTTGACGGCGTACTGTGTAGTCGCGTAAGGACCTATATCGAACAAAGCGATCGGCAGAGGCTCGTACCAGTATAACCATAACAATTGCAGTGACGCTGCAAAGGCTCGTGGTTCGGTAGTTGTCAGTGGTCGGTGGTCGATGGAAGCGCACCTTGTCAATAAACCTGACCCTACACAGTACTGGATGAGGGCAGACAGAAGGGACAAAGATCTAGTAACTGCGAGGAAAGAAACAATCAACCTGTATTCTGAGGCATGACATACCTTCGAGGCGTCTCGAGCCTCTCCCGAGGGCATCGCAAGCGGTAAAGTAGACCAACCATCATGCTCGCGAGGATTGTATCCAGCGCTGCGGATGTGGCATTTCCGGTGTATAACCACCACTACGGGCGTGGGCGTGTTAACTGGGTCTCATGGTGCCGAGCGTGTCGCGGGGACTTACATGGTGAACTGTGAGGTCTGAAAGGCGAGTACTGACGACATGCGGTAGGTTAAGGAGTCGGGTGCAATATGAAGGGAAGACTCACACTTCAGCTATGAACGCTGTGCAAGACGAAGTCAGCACTGATATTTAGCACAGATCAGCGTCCGCGCATCGACTGACCGCATCCTACGGCTTCATAGAAACATGAGGGCTAAGAACAGAGGTCACTGAAAGCAGACATACCAAGAGCCGCGACTGCCACCAACGAGACGATTGCGAGCTTTGGGCGAATTAGCCGGTTAAGCGCGGGAACGGTTTGTAAAAGAAATGGGTAACCTACTGTCAGACGTGTTGTGCGGTTGTGTGACTGAATTTGAGACGTCTTGCTGGATACTGTGGTTCATGAGTCGCAAGGAATGGCAATCGCCCTCTAAGATATACTCACACTGCCACACTCGAAGAGAATACAAGCTGCAAATGGATTTCAAAGATTTTCTAGCATGTACTCGCCGCGTGCTGCTCACCATTGCACCATCCAGATAATAATCACCTATACGCAGATCGTTAGACCAGAAAGTGCTCTGTCAATGGAATGACGTACGTTCACGACGCCTAAGGCCTTTGAGACACGTTAGACGGTACGTGCCGGGAGCTGCGATCAGCTCACCTTCAGACTCCTGCAATTTCGTCAGTGACCCAGAAGAGACTATGCTTGCTACTGACTCACCATACGACTGTATCTGCTGGGTCAGGGGCACCAGCACTCTTGACTAGATAGTTGAAGATCATATGGACGGAAAAGGAGAGATGCAATCCATCGAGAAAGCTTAAATGCAGATCTTTAAGTGGAAAGCGTTCCACTCAGACGTGCTATTTCTTACCAGAGAATGGCGACCTAAGGCGCTGTGAATTTCATTTTAAGTCAGAGATACTACATAACCCACAGTCACTTTGTAGTAAATCTTATCCTCGCGATACGTCTTGTAGTAGAGGAAGGTCTGCAATATGGAGATCCCAAAGAGACTGATAGTATTGACGCATCAAAGCCTGATATGGTCCCAAGTAGATCGCTAGCTCACATCGCCCCCACTATGACGCCCAGAAAAGCGGCGCCAAACTGATACGCGATATCCGAGGATGAGGCAGGCATGAGAGACACCAGACGACGCGGGGAGAGAGAGGGAGCAAGTATCTGTCTGAAGGACGAACATGGGACAATCTTAAGGCTAGTGTGGTTCTGGAAGCTCCCCAGTTTGATATGTTGATTCTTGAAATAGACATCTACTTACTGATATATGTGCGCGCTCGATGGATGCGAGAGGTTACACGGACAGAAGGGACCTCCGGCACAACACGAGGAGATGTGGAGGCCACGTTCGAGCAGCTCTTAATCCCTAACCAACATATCAAGATAGGCACAGGCATGAAACACAGCATGAGCTGCCAGAAGGTGTGTCAGATTACCACTGCTGGGAGAGAGCGCCCAAGGAACTTTGCGGTAAATCACGGGTCAAGCCGAAGGGCTTTGCTGACCGCAAGATACTTTACATCCGTATCGCTCCTCGGTATGTGCATGAGACAAGTAGGACTGGAGGGCCCATCGAGGCAGTGATAAAGGGATAGTCGACGACTTACTCCACTGAAAAAGCGGCGGTTGAGACAACATTCAGGAAGGTCGATCGCACACACCTTGGTTATTTCCGGGACCATCATAGAGGTGAGCCGACCGAATCGGTCCGACGCAGACGTGGGCCATTCTTCCGCGCTGATATAGGTATCGAGACAATGAGAGTGGGAGTCGGCAACGCCTGCCAAATTCGAACTCCGCCGCGCGCGTCACGCTTCAGCCACACGGGCGAAATGCTGGTTACAGCTTGTGGTGCACTTTTCGGGACGAGCAGACATTTTAAAATAGCGAAAAAATCTTTGGATATTCTTTGATGTTATATAGAATCCATCCTTCCAGTTCAATTTTTGATACACTGCCTTGTAAGTGCTATAAGACCAAGTTCAGAGGGCTGAGATGATAGGTTAACCAGGAGAGGGACACAAATCGAGAATTTTAACTGGAAGGATGGAATTATACACATCTAAAAGAATATATTCCGATTTTTACTCCAACTAAAGTGTGATACTGAGCGAGAAAAGTGCACCACACGCAACACACAACCAGATAGCCATAGTCGGCATTTGCCGAGACGCGTCCATTGACGCGTTTTCGACGCGTTTTGATAGAACACGTCCCTTCTGGAAGCACCGGCAAATGGAGATAAAGGCAGGGATAGCTAAGGACAAGAGGCTGGTGCCCATCAAGTCAAAAA